TGGTGAAAAATGGTCAAAATCAGGTGTTATCATCAATCCAATGGTATAAGCCATATCTGGTCTTATACTAACTATTGCATACATGATGCTTCCCACAGCACTAGAATAAGGAAACCGATATGTATCAAGACACTCTGAAGCCTCACGAACTGCATACAGTTTAAAATGTCCACCAATCGATGTATTAACCGTCTTTGCCTCACTCATTTTGAACTTCTGCACCATCTTCTTCAAGTAGCTTTATTGAGACAAGTACAACACCCCTTCCTTTCTGTCTTGCTTTATATCAATCCCCAAGATCCGACTTGCCGCAACCATATCCTTCATTTCAAATTCAGAACCCAATATCTTCTTGAGCTATCAATTTCTGCCATTTTCTTAGCAGCTAATAGCATATCATCCACATACAGTAGAAGATACACAAATCTAACTTCAACTTTCTTCACATAAACGCAACAATCATGACCACTTCTATGGAACTTCTAACTTGTTATGAACTGATTAAACCTCTTATTCCACATTCTAGGCGACTGCTTCAGACCATAAAGAGTCTTTCTCAGTAAACAGACATGATCTTTATCATAATCAACTTTGAAATCGTCAGGCTGTTCCATATACAGTTTTTGCTCCAAATTACCATGAAGGAATGCTGTTTTAACATTCATCTGTTCCAGCTCCAAATCTTGATTTACACTGCAGACATCAGAATTCTTATAGAAACATGTTTTACAACAGGAGCAAATATCTCTTGATAATTGACGCCTTCTCTCTGTGTAAAACCTCTTGCTACCAATCTGGCCTTGTACCTCTTGGGTTCCACTCCAGGTATACCTGGCTTCTTCTTGTAGAGCCACCTGCAACCAGTGACTTTCTTCCCCACTTGTCTATCAAAACATCCCAGGTTTTATTCTTAGATAGAGACGTCGTCTCTTCCTCCATCAAACCATCCCACATGAGTCATACTTCACAGTTCTTGGCTTCATGATAGCATTGTGGTTCTTCTAGGTTGAGACTTTCAGTTGTAATTAGTGAAAATGCCATCAAGCAAGAGTCTGAGAATTAGATGGTGGAACAATAGTTCTCCATGATCGATCTCGAGCTAGTTGATATCCAGCCAGATCAACTTCAACCTATGCATTCTGTTCTATCATTTCCTCCTCAGAATCGCTTAAATCATCTTCAGAAGCTCCACCTTGAATAAAATTCTTTGTGTCTAGTTGTTCAGGTTGTTGTTGTTGTTCCTCTGAGCTTGCCTTAGCCACAATCTCAATACTCCGAGTTCCACTAGACTGACCAATCTCCTGATTCTGTTTAGGTTCTTGCTCATTCATGGACTTTAAATCCTTCAACACTTGATCTTCATGAAACACCACATTTCTGCTTATTACACTCTTTTCAGAATCGAATGACCAGACCTTGTACCCTTTAGTTCCTTGAGGATAACCCAAGAAAACCCCTTTCAGTGATCTTGGCTTCAATTTTCCTTGATCATGGTGAACATATGCAACCGAACTAAATCTCCTCAGGCGTTTGAATCCAGGTTTCCGAATAAGCCATAATTCTTCTGGAACATTGTGATCTACAGCTGAGCAGGGTGACCTATTGATCAAATATGATTCCGTTGAGGCTGCTTCAGCCCAAAACTCCTCACCAAGCTCTGATTCAACCAACATACATCTGACCTTCTCCATAACAGTTCGATTCATCCGCTCAGCAACACCGTTTTGCTGCGATGTGTAAGTACAAGTTCGATGTCTCTCTACACCATGTTCTCTGCAATACTCATTAAACCTTGCATTGCAGAACTCCAAATCGTTATCTGTCCTTAGTACCTTCACGTTCTTGTTCATTTGTTTTTCAACTAACTCTTTTCACTCTCTGAACTTGTTGAAGGTTTCATCTTTAGTCTTCAAGAACAGCAGTCACACCTTTCTTGTTTTGTCATCAATAATTGATAAGAACTATTGTTTTCCTGAAAAGGATAGTGTGGCACTCGGGGAACCCCACATATCAGCATATATATATCCAAGAATGTCTTCAGTATTATGTCTTCCCACATTAAAACTTAAATTCTTGATCTTTCCCATCACGGAATGTTAACAAAATCCCATCTCCTTCACCTCACTTCTGTCTAGTAACCCTTTTTCAGCCAACACTTTGAGATTATTTATGCTTAAGTGCCTGAGTCTGCTATGCCACAGGGACGTTTTATCACTCCTCTTCTCGACATTGCAAGTTTCAGATAAAACAGTCTCCCCATCAAGTAAGTATAGGCCATTGATTATATTCCTCGAAGTGCAGTCACATTGTTCTTGAAATACCTTATTTTACCATCTCTACCTTCATGTTTGTACTCAAGTTTGTCGACAGTTCCTGTAGAGATGAGATTTCTCCTCAAGTTAGGTACATATCTGATGTTGTGAAGTACCTTAATTGATCCACCGTGTGTGTTTATCCTGATTGACCCTTGTTCCTCTAACTGAACTGTATGATCGTCACCCAACAAGATAGTTGTGCCTCCACTATCATGTAGATCAACAAACCAGTCTCTACGAGATGTCATATGGAAGGTGCACCCTGAATCAAGAACCCACACATCTTTTGCTTTATGATCATCCATACTCAATGCTTCAGAATAAACCAACTGCTTGGTTATAACACTTGCTTCTTCATGCCCATCATTCCCATACTTCTTCTTTCTAGCATTACAGTCTTTCTTTAAGTGATCCTCTTTCTTACAAAACCAACAAGTAGCCTTTATTTTTGATTTTGATCTACTCCGATTTTTCTCATTTGAGTCCTTGGAACCTCTAGTCGTAGATCTCCCTCTTTTCTTTGTATACAGCCTTGATGCAGGAATTTTATAATCCTGAGTAGCTTCAAGAATCTCTATTTCCCTTGATCTGACGACCGACACCACTTCTTCTAGGGTCAGAGAGTTTCTCCCATTCTTGAGAGTATGCTTTAACTGATCATAGCTTGCAGACAGAGATGTGAAGAACAAAATGGCTTGAACTTCATCAGAGACTCTCACCTCAAGACTGCCTAACTCTGCAACAATCTTGAGGAAGTCATCAACGTTCTCATCCGCACTCTTGCACTCATTCATCTTAAACGTGTAAAACTTCAAGTGCAGATGAATCCGGTTTGGCAAAGTGCTCTCCATGTACAACCTGTTCACAGCGACCACATCTCTGCAGCTGTGGTGCAGTGTTCGATTTTCCTCAACACTTGATCATCTACACTTGCTATAATCATACCCATGGCCTTTTCAGACTTCTCTATTTTAGTAGGATCAGGAACGACCTTTGTAAGAGGCTCTGACGTTGCCTTCTCCTCCACCACAACTGGTTGTTTCTGCTCACTCCTCGTGAGAGGTACCACCATCTCCAGCTTGTGGTCTGTGATGATATCCTTCAAGCCATGAATACGAAAAATAGGACATCATCCTTGTCTTCATCATAGAGAAATCTCCAGAACCATCGAACCTGTCGACATCCACCCTAGAACTTGCCAGAAGTTCCTTTGCTATCTTCTAAAGATTGAAAGATGACAACTTTCTCAGCAAACAACCTCAAGTTTACACCAAAGCAAGGAACTTTGATAAAGTTCGATGCTTTTTCAGCAAAACTCGACAAAGCTTAAAGCTTTACTCCGGATCTCCACTAAAGCTTGAACCTTCTAGTATTTTTCGACCAAAGGTTGAAGCTTTTCGTGTTTTGTTCAACAAAGCTTGAACTTTTCACCAAGCTCTAAACTTTCTTCAAGAACCTGAAGCTCTGATACCACTTGTTACGAAATGAACCTCCTTTTACTCTCGCCTTGAACTCACTTCTTTCACGAACTCTCAATCTTGTCACTCGTTTGTTTAGTTTGAGAAACAGAGAAAGAAAGCAGAGGAAACAAATAAGAAAAGAACACAAGAATTTGTTGCCCCGGTTCAACATATCAGTGTGATAGAGTCTATTTCTGGGGCCGGATTCAATCCTGGCGCTTTATAGATCGGAGATGAATGCTGAAACAGCTACAAGAGATTACAAGTACCATATCTCTCTTCTGTGTATACAACGTTACAGAGGATAAAGATGAGCTGAGTATTTATACTCACGTAAAGATAATACTCTGTCGCGATCAGAGTTTTTACCTCCTTCCCTTCTATCTCCAAAACGCAGCACTTCATTTTAAATCATACCAGCTGAAGATTCGACTTAACAAGCTCTTCCAATCTCGATTATAACATCAAACCAATGTCTGATTATGAAATTAGAATCACCCGCCAACATGGTTGAATGCAGAATACTACATCAATCCAAATCAAAGGGTTTCAAGGACTTGTGGTGCACAAAGACATTATTTACAATTAATCTGGACGAGACCGCCTAATAGATGGATAAAATGTAACAATGATGACTCCTCAAATTGGTTGCTCGCTTCCTTGGTCTTTCGATCTCACGAATTCTTTAAAGTTGGGGATAACGGTTTTAACAAAGTCTTCTTCATGGGACAGCTTCTGCTACTTTCTTCTCCTCTCGAGAAGAGCTTAGTTCTAACATCTTCCCTCTTTGTGAGAGGTATACTTCTCTCACAAATTTCTTATGAAAGTTCTTACCGAATTGGTCTCTTACTTAAACTATGTTTATTAGAGAAACCCATATGGGTCTCTTAAGTATTATTTAAGTTATATTGTTTAGTTAAGAGATTTATTAAGAAATATTGATTTATTTGGAGGTACATTAGAGAAAGCTTAATAGATTTCTTAAAAATAAAAAAAAATTATATAAAAAATCTGTTTTAGAATCAAATTTTATATAAATTATTTATTTTTTAATATAAATTATCTGTTTTAGAAGCAAAAGACGAACAGGAAGAAGAGCCTCCATTCAACAAAGCTTAGTGCAGATGGTCGCACTATGCTCAAGTATTTGGACACATCGTCTAGTGATTAATTAAGTTATGTAATGAGATCACTCCCATTCTATAGAACTCAAGTGTGATTAGAGAACGAATGTTATTAATATAAGAAAAGTTTTTTATCCAAATTTGTTCCTCCCTTTGGTTCATAAGATACTTCCAAGTTCCAAAACGTTTTTACATAGTAGCATCAGACAGAGAACTTGACGCCTTCATCATCTGCTGATGTTCTTTTAAACAATGCAAGCTTGCCCTTGTTTTCTAGCAGCTTCAATGTCCTCATTAGAATCGTCCGATCAATCCCTTGAAGTTCTGAAACAGAAAAGAGTGCATATGCGTAAACTAAGTTCTGAAACAGAAAAAAATAGAATCAAGGTTTTCTACTTGTTCCATGTGATTCTGTCCCTGAACGTATTTCTTCAACAGTCATAAGACTGTCTTCTAGTCCATTCTCTTTCACCTGATAGATAGAATATGATGCAAGGAAATCGATTAGAGGAGAGTTGCGTAAAACCAAAACCGATGTTTAAAAAAAATTTCTTTGTGACTCACAAAGTGAAGAATAATGTCTGCCCAATCTTGAATCCGGTGCCACAAAATCAGACATTTCCTATGCCCTTTATCTAACCACTCCGCACTGCCTGTGAATAGATAGAGAAGCATTCTATCACCAGAACATGATTTCACATAACCAAACACGAAAAATCTAGCCGCTTGAATGTCACAATCTAACCTTCTCCAACAATGGCAGAGAGGAATGTTTCCCTTGCTTCGTGGCTTAGAGTTCCTATGAATCAAATAAGACTAAAGCTTTTAAGCACTTGAAATCATAGAAAGCCGCAGGATTAACGCTGATGCCTAAAGACGAAAGAACAAATCTAAAGTTACAAGAGCTATGAATTTTGCAGCCTATTAAGGAGAATTATATTCATACGTAATCGAATGTAATCAGGTGAAAAGGCATTAATGAATCATACTATCAATAGCAGAGTTTGAGAAGAGTGGGAAATCTTCTACAACGCCAATCAAGAAAACCTTTTGGGCTTTGCAGTAATCCAAAATAAGCTCTTTCCAGAGCTGTATTTGCTTCTCATGAGTGTCCCTCACAGGCTGCAAACTGAAGAAAAAAAAGACTTTTCCATAATCCATAATCTTCAAGACACAGAAAAGGAGAGACAAATAAAGAAACTGGAAGAAGAGATTGGATACGTGAAGTATGGAGGATAACTGAATCCATATAGAATCCATTGAAATTCCATTTAGAGGGAGATAAAAGAACAAATCGACGAGAGAGAATCCATAGATGATATGGCTTACCTCCAATAAAGCTCCGGCGGCCGTCTCTTTGATCGGAAACGGCTTGAATCGGTGCAGATGCAATGGTGAGGCGATTTCGAGAAAATGAAAAGAGAAAGGAAAAAAAAAAATTTGGGTCGCAAAAGCTCAACCCAACCCAAGCTTAACCTCTAAAAAACGTCTTTCTCGTATGTCAAATAAGAAGACGTTTCTCTTGTTTTAAGTTATTTTTGATTTATTTTTAGGTTGAATAACGTTAAGAGACCCAATAAAAAACGACCGATAAACATGATTTTAGAGCATCTCCAGTAGAAAGATTCATTAAAAATCTCTTACCATATATAATAATAAATTTTAAATTAAAGTAGAATAAAAAATGGTGAACAAGAAGAAGAGAAGAATGTCTCTAAAATTAGCCATCCCCATCTGACATACACTTTAGAAGCGCACTAAAAGTTCTTGTTATAAGGGATTGATTAAAAAAAACATCAATTTTTTTTTTTTTTAACTCAACTTCTCCTAAAAAAACTGGGCCAAGGAACCCTGTTGGAGATGGTCTTAGCTGTATGTACTTAGAGCATCTCCAATGGTCCTTTAAATTTCACTTTTTCCTTCATTTTGAATATAAAAAATGAAGAAATCTTCTTCAACGGTGCTTCAATTTCACCTTCAAAATGAAGAAATGAACAGTATTCCTTCAAATATGAAGGAACACTGTTTATTTCTTCATTTTTTGAAGATGAATTTTTTTATTTACAAAATGTATCTTTAACTTTTTCTATGTTTTGATTTATACCCAAATACAATTTCTATGCTTTTTTAACCCAATTAATTTTAGAACAATAAACTTAACTAATCAAATTATAAAGTAAAACTACAATAAACACAATAAAAAATACAATAACATATATTAATTAAAAAAATACAATAATATAGTCAACAACAAAATTAAAAATACATAATTCATAGTAAATTATAAATAATAAAACTTAACATAACATAAACTAACAACTTAATAATCTGGAAAACCACTTCCAGATCCATTAAAATTATTAAATTTTGTTGTAAAATTGTTATAAATTAAATAAATAGGTGAAAGTTTATAAAACATAAAAATAAAGGATCTTGTTAGCAATTAATAATAAAATAGATATAGAATATACTTAGAATATTCTTTTTGAAGAAAAAAATGAAGAAAAATTTGCTTCAATGGTTTCTTCATTTTTTCCTTCAAAAATGAAGTTTCTTCAAAAATGAAGGAAAAAATGAAGAAACCATTGGAGATGTTCTTAACAGTCCCGCCTATATCTTGTAAAACATGAAATGTCGAATAATTTTTTTTTTTGCAATTTTATTATTTTTCTGTTTCTCATGTAATTACAAACTAGATTTTAACCCCGTGCGTCCGCACGAGAATGTTTTATTTTTTATTTCTAATATAAGTTGCATTTATCTTTTTTGTTTACATATAATTTGTTTTTGTTATTTATTTTGTTAAATCAAAAAATTGTTATCATATTTTAATTTTAAACAGTAAAATTTGTATATTAGTAGAATAAGAGTATACGTTAATTAAGTATACATTAATCTAAAGTTAATTATAAACTTTGTTATTATGTGAATTTAAATTTACACATAAACAATCTTTATATCTATGAATTTGCTAATTCATCCGTTTAGTTGTCTTAAATCATTTTTACTATCTTACATGTTTTGACAAACTAACCCGTATAAGACTATAATTATAATTGTATAACCCTATAAATATTTACTAATATGGAATATTTGGATCAATTGATTATGAAAAAATATAATAAAATATTTATTTACTATTTGTGTTATTAAAAAAATGTGTATATATATATATAAACGGACTAACCTGTTAGTTTAATTGTATCAAATCATATATATATATATATATATAACTCTAATCAGCTCGATCATATTATTGTATAATATAAATATTTATTAATTTCAAATATATGATATTTTAGACTGATTGTTTATGATAAAATACGATAAAATATTTATTAACTATGCATTTTTATAAAAATATTATTTAAATTAAAAATTTTAAATTAAATCTTTCATGTATTTAAGAAATTCTAAAGTATTAAAATTATTATCTAAATTTTCGTAATAAAATTTAAATATCATTTTTTGATTTTTTGAATTTAAATTAAATTGAATGAAAATTTTTGTAACTAAATTTAATTAAATTTCTAATAATTTGAAATTTGAATTAAAGATGACCTAGATTTTTTTGAAATCTAAAAATATCTAAATTAATAACTAATTTTCGAAAATTAAATATAAAAATTAAATTAAATATTATAAAAAAACCTTTGAGAGTGTTTGGATGCAAGCAGTAAATGTGCTTATGTTTTAATAGAATAGATGTTTTGCATTGTCCTTATTTTGTTTCAAGATTTTAATAATATACTCAGATGTTATATAAAAAAAATGTAAAAAAAGAAAAAATTCTCAGCTAGTCTTCAAGTGTAAGTAGAAAGAGGGAAGTGTGAAGGGGAAGACTTAGCTGCAAATACGTGTTTGTGAAATTGGCGGGTTTACACTCTCCAAGCTCAAACCCTACTAACAAGCAGTAGAAAGGACTTTCGAGATTTTCGTTGATGTTGATCGCAAACATGAGATGCTTCCGATGCTTTTACACTCGAGCCCACTCTCTTATTTTTCTCCGATCTTCTTCCTCCCCGATCACGATTCCTGTTCCCCCCGTCCGCCTTCGATGCCGTCGCCTCTCCTCCGTTTTCGACTCTATCCCCGATCAATCCGTCAATTCGATCTCAGAAATTGCAAATGACGCGAGTTTCAGCAGAGAAGACAAACCGGAGGAGAAACCGAGAAAATCCGGTTCGATGCCGGGCGGGTTAGCTCGGGGATGGGATCCAGGTGAAGTAGTTATGAACAAGAAGAAAGGTAAAGCGAAATCGAGAACTTTTTGGGTTTGTGAGAGCTGTGGGCATTCGGATGGGCAGTGGTGGGGAAGCTGTCGCGCTTGCAACAAGGTTGGGTCGATGCGACGTTTCTCTGAAGGTTCTGAGTCTCGTGGGAGTGTCGGCATAGCTAGTGGCGGCGGCTCAGGGGTTTCGGAAGGTACTGGTTTGTCTTGGTTACCTGAGCAAGCGGTGGTGCAGCCACTCAAATTGAGTTCTGTTATTGATGGGATTACTCAGCAGCAATGGAGGATTTCACTGTATGTTCTTCTATTTCCTTTGGTTTACTGTCTCTAGCTTTCATAGGTTTGTGATGATTTTGAAAATGAGTTTTCTTATTATGTGATTACTTAGTAGCAATGGAGAATTTCACTGTATGTTCTTCTTTTCCTTTGGCTTACTGTCTCTTGCTTTCATAGGTTTGTGATGATTTTAGGGATTGAGTTCTGTTATTGATGGGATTACTCATTAGCAACGGAGAATTTCACTGTATGTTCTTCCTTTTCCTTTGGCTTTCTGTCTTTAGCTTTCATAGGTTTGTGATGATTTTGCGATTAAGTTCTGTTATTGATGGGATACCTAGTGGCAATGGAGAATTTTACTCTATGTTCTTCTTTTCCTTTGGCTTTCTGTCTCTAGCTTTCATAGGTTTGTGATGATTTTGAGATTGAATTCTGTTATTGATGGGATTACTTAGTAGCAATGGAGAATTTCGCTTTATGTTCTTCTTTTGCTTTGGCTTACTGTCTCTAGCTCTTATAGGTTTGTGAAGATTTTGGTTTTGTTACTATCTAAGAGATTGTTTTGTTGTGTGTTTTGTTTACATGATGTGTTTTGTACTAGGCCTGGACTTTTTGGGAATGAAGTTGGGAGAGTGCTTGGTGGTGGCCTTGCCCCAGGTTTGTATGCTGTCTTCGTGATTCTATTCTTTTGTCCTCTTTCTTTCTGTGTTCAACATTTTAGTTTATCCAAAGGTTGTGTTCATCATGTTGCTTCGCAAACATTTTAAATATATTCATAGTGTCTTGTTTACCGTGGACGGATTATGGTACTTTTTTGTAGGTTCCCTGATTTTGATTGGTGGTGACCCTGGTATTGGCAAGAGTACTTTGTTGTTGCAGGTTAGGAAAATCTATTCATCAGTTTCTAGTAATTCAACAACAGTTTGTGAATTGGGTGTTTGAATGGACATAACCAGCTTTCGTTTTCTTATATGGAAGATTGCATCTATAATTGCTGAGGGGAACGATTTGGCCCCACCAGCACCGGTTTTGTATGTCTCCGGCGAAGAGGTTAGTACTTAGTAGTAGTCATGTTCTGTTTTTTTTTTTTTTTTTTTTTCCTCAAATCTGTTACCAGGTTTCTGATTCAAAACTCGTGGATTGTATATTTGCTCCGTGTCTTTTTTTTTTTTTTTTGACTATGCTGCTTAAGATAGTCTGAGTGAGCTTACGTTCACAATTTTAAGATGCAGCAAAGTAATAGATAGTCTGAGTGAGCTTACGTTCACAATTTTAAGATGCAGCAAAGTATTATTAGCTCGAGTTTCAGCAGCTTAATACTGTCCATCTGCACTTGTTGGCTGTTTTTCTTTTCTTCTTTTCTCTTTTACTTTGGATATATTTATTCTTTCGGAAGGATCTCATCCCATGCATTCGGTTGAGTTGATTACACCGTCTTCTTAAGGCCTTCGTTTGTGTTTTGCAGAGTGTTGATCAAATAGGAAGTCGGGCTGACAGGATGAAAATTGAAACTGACGAGCTCTACCTGTTTTCGAGTTCTGATCTTCAGGTATACTTTTTTTGTTTATATGGATTAGTATTCTTTTAATTGTAAAAAGACAAAAGTCATATTTATACACTTCTCTATATTGTCTAAGCACGACAAATCTGTTCGTTCCTTTTTTATGCCTAGTTGTTAATGTCCAAGTTAATTTTCTACATGTTTACATGTCATACACCAACTCTATACTCTGTGAAATTCTGAAGCCTTTCCGTATCATAACTGTTTCTTTCAGGAATCATTTTTTTTTAATTTCTTTCAGGATATTCTAACTAAAGCTCATCGACTATCTCCCCGAGCTCTCATCATTGATTCAATTCAAACGGTTTACCTTAAACAGGTGACTGGAAGCGCTGGTGGTCTCACACAGGTTTAAAAGTTTTCCTCCTCTATTCGCTTAGTCTCCCACTACTCTAATTACTATGAGCAAGAAGTTAAGCCATTAGGTGATGAAAAAAGTGAAAGCTGAAGATCTGTCTTCGTCTACCACATAAGAGTTCCCTTTTAAACATATCTAAAAAGAATGCGGGATTCCGTAATGTTTTTTTTTTCTGTCTGCTGAAAAGGGGGTTTCTCTTTTCTGATATTCTCTAATCTTGACAGGTTAAAGAGTGTACATCAACCCTGTTGCGTTTTGCTAAGAAATCTAATGTCCCTGTTTTCTTGGTGAGTAAGCACCCTCCTGCCAATTCTTACCTTTTCCAAATTTGTGGTGTTTGATCTGGATCAGCTCTTTTATGCCAACTACTTTCTGTTTTAGGTTGGACATGTTACGAAAGCAGGTGATATTGCAGGACCTCGCGTTTTGGAGCACATAGTAGATGTTGTCTTGTACATGGAGGTGTTCAGCTTCTTACGTTTTGATGTGTTTATTTATGAAATCATGATATCCCCTTCAATAGATGGCGCTCTGTAGTTCTAACTATAGTTTTAGACTATAGCAAGTATATGAACTTTTTGTTATTGAGATACAACAGAAGACTATTACTTGACATATAGTTTCTGTCATATCTCAGGGTGAAGAAAGTTCAACTTACCGCTTGCTTCGATCTGTGAAGAATCGGTTTGGGTCGACTGATGAAGTATGTTTTACATAATAGTAATATGCCTTTGCTGATAATATCATGATGATATTGTTTTTCCTTGCTGGATTTTCTCCTTTTCTCGGGAACTTGCTAGTTCAAGCATCTCATTTCTGTGGATTGTGTTCCCTTAATTATGTCAAGCATCTCATCTGTCCACCTATTTTTTTTCGAGTTATTGAATAAAATGTGGCTATCTCTTTTGTCAGCTTGGAGTTTTTGAAATGTCACAATCAGGACTTGAAGTGGTCTCAAACCCTAGTGGCATATATCTTAGTCAACAGAACCCGGATTCAGATGTTTTAGCTGGATTAGCTGTCGCAGTTGTTATGGATGGATCTCGGAGTTTCCTCATTGAAGTTCAGGTAGCTCACCAGATCATTCTGCTTCATCATTCCAAATAATTATTAAAGGGCTCATGCTTGATAAATTAAACTGCGATTTGAAAGCCTTAAATACATTTTGCGATTGTCAGTATGATGAGAATAATGACTTTCATTGGCCGTAGTATGTATGCTCTGAATAGATGATAGTGCTGACCTCTTATCATATGTGCTTAGTCGACCTTGAAGCTAAGTATTGTAGTTCATGTTTAAACATTGGTTTCGCTCTTTATGTAGGCGCTGTGTGCACCTGGCTCGACAGTTTCAAGGCATGTCAATGGTGTTCAAGCAAGCAGAGCTGACATGATTATTGCAGTGAGTTCTACTTTTTACATTGACATGATAATTTACGTTTGGTACATGCTCTCTGTTGATCTGTTCCTTTCTTTTTCCTTTTGAATAAACGATATCTTATTGTTATGTTTTGGCCTATCATATTATAGGTTCTTATGAAGCAAGCTGGTCTTAGAATTCAGGAATCTGTAAGTTTAGAGATTTCTTAGTATTGTGTCAATCTACAATAATAATCTTGTTTTATCTAATAACAAGTGATTAGAAGCGTGTTAAACTCGTTTCTTTAGTATCTAAGTCAAACGCTCATTGAGTATCCTAGTGATAGAGTGAATTTTTGTTTGTCCTTAAGGGGATATTTCTGAACGTTGCTAACGGGATGGCTCTTTCGGAGACTGCTGGTGACCTTGCAATAGCAGCAGCAATTTGTAGCAGGTGAGTGTTGTATACTTCTTTGTGCTCTTAAACAGTGTCTTGTAAAATAAGCGTTATCTGATTACTGGCTCCAAATGAAGCACTATTGTTGTTTTTATTGCATAATCCAGTTTCTTGGAGTTTCCAATTCCTCACGGAGTAGCATTTATCGGCGAGATTGGTCTAGGGGGCGAGGTTCGCACGGTAAGCAAGGACATTTGAAAATATTAGCTCATTGTTGCTAGGAAATTTTTATGTATATGATTTGAAGGATGATAATGGTACAGGTGCCAAGAATGGAGAAAAGGGTAAGTACTGTGGCAAAGCTAGGATTCACAAAATGTGTGGTTCCCAAATCAGTGGAGAAGTCACTGAAGACGCTGGGTTTGAAAGAGATTGAGATTGTCGGATGCAAGAATCTGAAAGATTTAATCAATTCTGTGTTTAGGGTATAATGAGATTAAACATTATGATTGAGATTAAACATTTGAATCAACATTAGCTGTCTAGTTGGAGTGGGCAATCTAGTTTAGGATTTAGTTCGGCTTGATTTTTCTGGTTTTTTAGTTTAGCAGTTTTATAGAAACTGAAAACCAGATCAAATCATTTTTAGTTCGTTTCGAGTTGATGTGATTTTGTTTAGTTCAATTTGGTTACATTTATACGATAAAATCATCTGCTTTTGAAACTGTAATCGGTGCCAATCGTTAGAGAGAATAAAGCTCTTTTGGTATCGAATATGGAGAAAATTAAAGGCAAAGTCTTTTAATATGACTGGTACAAAATGTTTATATCAGATTGTAGAAAACTCAAAAAGCATTTGGTTTTGTATGATGGTGTGCGATTTGGAGTTTCATTCAGGACATGTTAGCCTGCACCATAAAGAAAATAACCGATAGTCAAGTTTTATTATGAAGATCACCAAGTAAATTCACTTCTTTTGTTCTATCTTCTTCATTATATTATTACATATATGGCTTATGTAATAATTTATACGCCGAAAATAAGCTTGCATTGGCAAAAAAATGGATTTCTGGGTTTTTAATTACTGAAACCAATTGAACTACAGATTTTCAGCTGTTTTGAATTGATGTATTTTGGCTTGGCTTGGCTCGGTTTTTTTGGAGTTTCGGTTTCTTCCCATCATACAACATGGAGAAGCATTGAATTTGGTCTACAACTTTATCCATCAGGATTTTTGATATTTACATTCTACAAAAGAAAAAAACCAAACAAATAGGATTTGGGTTGATGAATGATGAGTAAATGTGAGGGGAAGTGAAATGCATAATACATAATGGCGCCGTTTCAGACCAAACATCATAACGTTCTCACATGTGACATGTGACATTGTCCTCTCCACATGCCATTTTTCACTCCCCGCCAAAACCCAATTTTGATCTTTCTTCTTTACTTTCCAATAATTCCAACATTTCGGTATGACAATGACAAAAAATTTCCAACTATCTATAGTAGTATTACTATTTAATTTAATAATCTACAGAAACTTCTTCAACATCATGATGTAAATCATTAGTATTAGGCTCTTAGCTTATTAAATTATTTGTTGTATATTAGTTTATTCACTTCCCTATTGAGTAGATATCGAATTTGGTTTCCTATTTATAGAACCAAATGCGCTGTTGTTAGAACAACGGTCGCAACTACACAATATTGGCAATTATTACCATTGCTAACTACTTTGTTTTCTAGCTCTTGATTTATGATTTAAATTTAGCATCTGAATAAATGTATATGTGCTACCTTTTTTAGTAGATTTCTACAGTTATATGCAAAAGTTTATCAATTGGCCACTACCCAAAAAACTGATAGGTAGATTATAATTTGGTTGAAATTTTAAACGATGAAGATAGATAGATTGCCGGTAACTCTCTAGTTTAAAACAACAACAAAAATTAATAAACCAAGATGTATAGTAGTTCCCATAGGTGTTGTTTTTATTGGTTTAGGTTATGGATCGATTTTTTGCAAGCATAAATTATCTAACCTCGTCCATTTAAACAGTCAAAATAGTGTCATGTAATCAAACCTATTAGAAATTTCGGTGAGTGGACTATTCAGCGACTATATTCATATAAAAGGATTTATCGGTGGTAAAAGCTTCGATCACCCCTAGGTTATAAATAAAACAGGAATAAATATTAATTTTTTCTTCATTGTCTTTTTTTTCAGTTTGGATAAACATTCTCTGAGTCCTTTTATCCTAAATATTTGAGTATTGCCATTTAATGATTTTGTTTTTTTGTTCTCATCTAATGATTTACAATAATAAAAAGATTCATTGAATCTCTTATACAAAAAAAGCTCTGGCGTCTATGTGTCCAATAAAATAAGTAATGTCTAGAGTAGCTTCAAATTATTTGGAAGCTTTTAAGAAAAAAAGAAAGAATTGTGTCCAATACAATAAGTAATGTGTAGAGTAGCTTCAAATTTTTTTAAGTTTTTTAAAAAGAGAATTGAAAATCTGTGTTCCAAATCCGGATTTTGAACCATGGTTTTGTTTTTTTTTTTTTTTTTTTTGTGTCTTCATAAAAGGCCACCATGGATTTTGCAACTATATGAAAGTTAATGATGTTATTTTGAAGTAAGGGCATCAATGGAAACACATATGTATTGAACAAAAAAAATTGGAATAAGAGACCACATTATAAAAAAATACAAATGCATCATTTATGTGTTAAAAGACGGTATTGGTTGTTTTCGAACATCGTTAAAATTACTCAAAATGCCATTCCAAACTAGTCCACATTATAATTTATACTATTAAAGAAATTTGGCTCTATATAAATGGAGACAGCAAGTGCTACCATTGCCCTACACTAAATTCTCTGAGCACTTTCATTAAAACAAGAATGGTGTGCAGAGCAGAAGAAGCAATGAAGCAGAGAGAGAACTTAAAAAGGTGTAAACAAGATCATGATCGCCAAAAGAAGAAGATGCAGTCAATCACAAATTGCAACAAAGAGAAAAGTTGTAGATTCAAGAGAAGCACTTGTAATCACGACCAGGACGGAGCTTCCTCAGCCATCTTCCTTCTCGCCTGCATCGCTTGCTCTTCCTTTTCCTATCATCTTTAAGAACTCTTAGTTGTAACAGCATCCACAGTTAATTCAAACTACGTTTAAATTAAAATCCTCTATAGTTCTATTTGTTAATTCTATTGTCACCTTATTTTACGTTATAGTTTATTTATTTATGTATGTTTTAATTTGTTTTATGTTATAGTTTTATTGTATAACACTTTCGGAAAACATTTTCAGGATGCGAATAAAGCTTACTGCATTTGTGTTCGTATTTAAATGTCGAAATGTAAATCTGTAGTTGTACGTATATTGAACTTCCGTTGAATGAATACGTTAATATATGTTTTAGAGTTTATTTATACGAAAAATATTTTAAAAAATTGTAATAATAGTTTGGACTAGGGTGCAAACACTTAAGATATTTAGCCCAATATTCATTTTGGCTGAAAAATAGAACTTATAACAATTTAATTTGAGAAATGATGTGAGTAACCATTTCAGAACGAAGGGACGAAATAAACCATATCACGCATCCATTTACCGACATGGAAATAAAGTAATGCCGCTAGGCGGCTTTAGTGTATAACTTTTAAGAACAACTAGGTATTGGCCCGGGTTTTTTCATAAATTCGTTTATATTTGTTTTAGGTTATAATTAGTATTTTGGTAATCTTTTATATTTAAAAATACATATTATAATCTTCTTTAAAAATATTTAGAAGTAATCTTTCAAAATAAAATATTTATGTATTTTTTTTAGCTCTTCATTATGAATATAAATTTTTGCAGTTATGAGAAATGACACACGAAATAGTGAAGCAATATAGGCAACTAAAACATGGTAAATTGAAACATGTAATTTTGTGCACACACCTTTTCCCCGCCAGCACACATGAGTAATTAACCATTGCCACAGTTCTTCTTTTCTTGTATCAATACACACCCTATAAACAACTCATAGTGCAGACTTAAATATCAGCAACGTCAAGCAATTTAAAACTGAAAGGGTCAAACTGTACACTTCATGAAGATGTTCCTTGGGCCTGATACTTGATTAAAAAAAAAAAATTTCAATTATTGGATACAACTTTTCCTGCACCAAAGTAGTAAATAAATCTTAATTTTTTTTTTCGCAAACATAATTTTATTAAATTGAAGACACAAAGTCAGAATACAATGTTTGTGTTAGCCAATGTGACGGATAAATACAATCTGAGAAAAATACATTGTTTGGAGGTCCATTACGAGCTAAATATGTGCCGCCATATTGCCATTACGTCGAACATGTGAAAATTCAAGATGAATAAACTTTCTTTTCCAAAAAGTTATGTCTTCGAGAAGATTAAGAATTGTTAGGGCATCCTCAATGTAGAGACCTCCCTTGGTCTCCAAATCAATTTTTTAATTAATATTTAATGATAAAATGGATTTAGAAACTGTATGTAGAAACCTTCAGTTGTGGTTTGTGTAATGGGAGAGACGCATTTGGGTCTCTAGGAGGAAATGTTTTTTTTTTAGAAAATAAAGAAATATGTTTTAAAAAGAAGTACATTTTATTAAATAAAACTAATATAATACATTGAAATGGGAAAAATAAACATATAACATACAAATTTTATGAAAACCTTAAGCAATATTTTGAGTGAATCCAAATTTCTGCCAGATATGCTCCAACAAATCTGCCTGTAACCGATCATGTATTTTTTTATCACGAACTCTTAACCGATTATCCATCAGATTTCGGATATTTGTTGCCATAGTTGTTGAGTATGACTGAGCTTCTTGTGAACTACTAGTTCCTTCTCTTTGTTGAAATTCCAAAAAAATATAATGCGTGCGTGCATCTCTCTCGTCTTCAACTATCATGTTATGGAGGATGATACAAGCTCGAATAATTTTGCTTATTTTAGCTTTATCCTAGAAAAGAGCTGGGTTTTTAACAATTGCAAACCGAGATTGCAAGACTCCAAAAGCACGTTCGACATCTTTTCGAACGGATTCCTGACGCTCAGCAAATAAAGTAGCTTTCTCACCTTGTGGAAGTGGAATTGATTTGATGAACGCTGCCCAATTTGGATATATACCATCGGTGAGATAGTATGCCAGATTGTAATTTCTTCCGTTGACAGAAAAATTTACTTCCGAGGCTCTACCTTGTAAGATATCATCAAATACGGGTGAACGGTCTAGAACATTTATATCGTTTAGTGTACCTGGAGATCCAAAAAAGGCATGCCAAATCCAAAGGTCATATGAAGCCACGGCCTCTAAAACGATAGTTGGTTTTCCTGCCCACGAGTATATTGTCCTTTCCAAGCGGTTGGACAGTTCTTCCACTCCCAATGCATGCAGTCTATGCTTCCTATCATTCCCGGGAATCCGCGTTCTTCTCCAACGTATAGCAAACGGTTTAGATCCTCCTGTGTTGGTCTCCGCAGATACTCATCCCCGTACAAATGGATTATTGATTCAACAAAATTTTCCAAGCATGACCGAGCAGTTGTTTCACCGAGCCTAAGATACTCATCGACCGTATCAGCTGCACCACCATATGCCAACAGACGGATTGCAGCTGTACACTTCTGTAGTGCAGAGAGTCCTGGTTTCCCCAAAGCATCTCTCTTCTGACGAAAGAATCTAACTTCATTGGAAAGTTTTTCGACAATACGGACAAACAAAGACTTGTTCATCCTAAACCTCCGTCTGAAATAAGCTGCAGGATATGTCGGAATATCACTAAAATAATCGTTCCACAGACGATTGTGGCCTTCCTGACGATCTCTTTCAACGTAAGCCCTTCTTTGTTTAGGTCTGCTTGTCTCTTGGTCCTCTCCATAACTGTTGAACATATTTTGGAAAGTTTGCTGAAAATATTGCTGGAATCTGTTGCCCATATAGTTGCCCATATAGGTCTCCATATTTTGCTCACCATAACCATCGTTTTGGTTATCTTCTGGGTTATCATTTGGATTATTTGATGATGAGGCCATCCGGTTGGTTGCAGGGATTAAAAATATGTAAAGAAAGGGTTTAGGTGAAGGAGTTTGAAAAAACTAAACTTGGAAGAAGTATAATATAAGCAGAAATAGAGTAATACATTGAAACTATGAAGATGTGTTTTTCTAACTTGAGGAAAGCAATGGTTTTATAACATTGTCTCGGTTACATTCAAAGGTTTGGAAAAAAAAGAACAATTCATTTGTGGTCTACAACAAAAGAGTACTAAAAGACATAAAATGGTGATAAATATTGTCCACTCAAACGATTCGGTGACTCTGAAAATAGTTGTGTCCAACGCATCCCTGACTCAGCATTGCTGTTTGCATACACATCCCAAATATTCCCTGAAAAAGAAAAGAAAGCATAATGGTCGAATATAAGAACAACATAATGCGAGATATTTACTTGAAAACAACAACATAATGCTCGAATATCATAAGAACAACCAAAGCAAGACATAATCATACAATCACAAGTACAAACCTAACTAATCAGAGAATAGTTCTTGAACAAGCTTCTTCTTCACAGTTTCCTCATAATCAGCTAATGGCTCCTTCCTCGCCATTAGAGTGTCAAGTAGTGCCATTTTATTAAGCCTTTCTTGCATGGCCATCTCCTTTTCCCTGATGACCCACATTCCCTCAAACTCACTTAGCGTCTTCCCTTCAGGGTTAGTTTTCTTGGTCTTCGCCTTTGCCGCCTTGATTCCAATAGGCCGAGTACTAGGTTGTGCTTGGTCACCGAACCTTATTTCCTCCACTTCAGCAGTCGGTGCATTTGAAACAGCATCACATCTTCTTTTTTTGGAAATCCCATCGGTTTTTGCAGTAGAAAGTTCCGACCATTTCTGGTCATTTCGCAACTCCTTCCACGCATGTTCTAAGTTGAACTTCTTCTTCTGATCTTGGAAGTATATTTGGTGAGCCAGCTTGAGCACATCATTGTCGTTCATACCACTGGTCTTCTCGCGCGTAGCTGTTTCAAAGGCTCCGCAGAACTTGCACACAATATCGTTAATCTTGTGCCATCTCTGCTTGCATTGCCCTGATTCGCGTGGTATATCCAGCTTCGCCTCTTTCATGTTGTCAGCATAATATAGTGCGATCCTCTTCCAGAATGCGCAAGACTTTTGCTCATTACCCACAACTGGGTCTTTGCTTGTGTTAAGCCAAGCGCTTATCAGGAGGACGTCCTCGTTCGGTGCCCAAGTTCTTCTATCACCGCGCTGACTGAGAGTTTCATGAAGGGAAGCGGGTTGCGTGCTAAATACAGGGAGTTGCTCCACTGAGGGAAAGCCATCATTGAAAGATGGCTCTTGTTGACTATTTAGTAGGTCAACAAAGTTAGCCGGTTGCGAATATGGATATGAATCCATTTGAAAAAGTGTACAACCGAATGAAAGAGATATGGAAGCGAGATAAAAGAGGCTGAAAGAGTATAGAAAAAAGTGAAAGAGATAAGAAAAAGAGACTTGGAAGACTGAAAGGGAGAGCCAAAGTAAAAAGGAAAAGGATGGATAGAGGAAGAATCGTGATAAATAGGGTTTAGAAGTGGTAGACTTAATGACAAAATTAAAGGAAGTTAAAGCAAAGAACCTACCAAAATATCACACAAGTTCGACATGACACAAACCTAAAAGGCAATGAACACCATTATATCACTTAAATTCCAAAATCTAATCAGCATTTATGACAACCTAAAAGCCAAACCCATTTCTTTGTAATCACTAATGACAACAACCAAAAAGTAAACTAAATGCTAAACTTACTGTTAGAAATGAAGTCGGAGAAAGACTCTTGTTTAACCGGCTTCTAGTTAGACCCGAACCAATAGCATCACACGGTCAGCTGAGAAGAAAACAAACATATAAAAGAATAAAACTGTCAGCGAGTATTATAGAACAGCTAAATAGAGAAGATAAACAGAAGATAAAGAGAACAATAACTTATCTGCTTCAGTAATCCCAAAAAAATGGCTACGATCCTCTCATTCGAACTCACAGCCTACACTTCGATATAAGAGACAAGCGAAACAAAGATTCCCAAACACCAATACAAACAACACAGTAATCCGATAGCAAAAATTCATTAAACCCAACCATCATAGTCAACAAAGTCAGATAGCAAAGATAACTAAAAATACTCATTCAGTGATCAGCCTAAACAACTCGAATGTCAATATGCTAAATCCCATCGCATGAACACACAAGTGATAACAGCAAAGATAACTAAAAATACAGCAAGGAGCAAATCAGAACCTCGATTCTCAAGTGTTTCTTTCACACCAGCAATCTCACTCTGAATGTACCCGATGAACTCCTCGATCTCGGCAACAGTCTTCTCGACTAAGGTCATGCGATCCTCCAAAGCGTAGAGCCGATTCTCATAGGACTGAAGCAGGGTTGTTCTGTTGTCACTAAACATCCTTGAACTCTGCTTGTCAATGCGAATTTGGAGAATGGTCAGCTGCTCTTCAATGGCTTCATCCCACCATTTGCAGATGTGATCGGGCTTATCCTACAGATTAGATAGTTGAAGACATCATCCTTAATGACTTTCTTAGAATATAAGTATACATTAAATGAAAACATAAAACATCTTACCTCGCCCAGTCTTTCAGGACAACAATAAAACTTCCTCCCAAATGTTGCTGGAGCTGTAGACTCTTCAAGCCTACAACGAAGCCCACAGTAGCATCGTTCAGGAATCCCGAAGTCCCCATCAGCCTTTGCACATCCGCTATCAAAGCTTGCTTTGGACGATGAGCTGTTGGTATAGCTTATCGGCATTTATGTAAATAACATGAAATAAAACGTTTTCATCAAACACAAAAACTAAACATAAAAGTACAGAATCCAAAACCATAAACACACCGATCAAAACCACATTTGAAGCCCACTAAACCCTATAGATTGCTTCATCGTAGTCAAACATCAAATGGACATATAACCCACAAACAAGCTAAACATATCTTCTTCACATAGAGTCTAAGGTCAAACAAACACATCAAAAGTACAAATCGAATCCCACAAACAAGTCAAACATATCTACACCGAAGTCTAAGCTGAAATGGACATGGCAACGATGAATCACTCAACATAAAAATGACCATAAACCATAGATTTCTTCTTCACAGACACTCTAATTAACAAGAAAAAGCAACCAAAACAAATATATTTCATCAGAATACAAAAGCCCCAATTTTCAGTAACTAGGGTTTGCTCAAAATTTATGGATCAAAGAGAGAATCAACCAATCCGTGCATCAAATGTATATTTCCAGTTCAAATAGGTCATACTGCAATCTAATGTACCCGAAATTACGATCTAAACATAAAAATTTTATGAATAACGAAAAGCCCCAATTTTCAAATTAGGGTTTCATCGCAAATCATCACATATCGGAACTATCAAATCATCGCATATCTGAATCAAACCCTAAAACATCGCAAAGTCCTCGATTTTGAAATAAAACGAAAAAACAACCATAGAATCGACCAAACGAAAAAATAACAGAGGAGTTTTAGGGTTTGTTCAACTTATCTGTAGCCTTTCCTTGTCGAGTTGTCGCCGATCTCGGAGATGGTGCGGACACACGTCGCTAGTCGTCGGAAAATCGATCGATCGGAGATGCAGCACCAACGATCTCTCGTAATCGTCGGAGAGGAAATGAAAATGGAAGAAAGAAGGGTCGAGGAAAAATGAGATCGAAGCAACTAGGATTTTTTTTCCCCCAATTTCGTCACCCAATTAACGAATGCCACCTGTCCCGAGAGACGTCTTCAAAGGTCCCGAAATAAGAGACGTCTCGGGCCAAATAGAGACGCGGCCCAACTACTTAATTATTTTGTTTCTCCTAAAAACGCAGCCCGTCTCTGCATTGCGGATGCCCTTATGTCTTGTTGTTGTCCTTTTGATATTTTAACCAACATCTCGTTATCTCCTTCAAAAACGACTGAATCAAAACTTTTTGCCCACACACTTTGTAAAGCAAACAATAAAGTTTTGCCCTCTGCCTCCAATACTGAAGTTGCTCTCCCCAAGTTAGCAGAGCCCCATAACTGAGCAACTCCTTGGTGATTACGAACTATCCATCCGCCAATAACTTGTCTTGACACAGGGTCAAAGGCAGAATCATAATTATATTTAAGCTTACCTGAATGTGGACGACCCCAAGTAGACACCGAAGATGATCGATGACCATGTGTTGTTTGATCTTTGTCTGTTGCACTCAGCCATTCAGTGACATCTGCATTTGATTGTTCCACATCGCTCTTAGGGTTAACTCTTTGTTTGTTAAAAATCAAGTTGTTTCGTGATTTCCAGATCCTCCACATAATCCACCAAGGAAGAAGTTTCTGGTGATTGGTTAATCCGTGTGCACCTTCGAGATCCATGATATATTTGATATTTTCTTCAACATCTTGTGAAGGAGAAAACAGGCAAGGATATGGTAATTTTGAAAGCCTCCAAGTTGACATCGATAGTGGACATGTGAATAACATGTGATTAATGGTTTCTGGCTCAAGGCAACATCTTTGGCAAGTCTGATCCATTCGTACTCCTCTCGTATTTAACCGTGTCGCTGTACCTATTGATTTTGTTAAAATTCTCCACAGATAATTTTTTAATTTTGGCATTATTGGTAACTTCCAAACTCTTGATTTTAGAAAACGATCCCCGCTTGGAGGTGGTAGAGCTTGAACGACAAAATCATGATTGTGTAGATTCCGTTTTTGGTATAGTTCCACTTGATTTTGTCGGGAGATGATCGTTGTGCCAAATACTAAAAGCTTGTATGAATCTCTTCAATGTTAACCGTTGATTTATGAAGGAGGTAGACGGCCATCAGATTCTAAAGCGAGAATGTAACAAATATTTGAGTAATGAATTTGCCTTCTCTACGTGTAAACTATTTCTACCTCTCTTGATGACGTGGAAAGATGTTGATATGGCTTAACCTGATTGGATGATTATTTTTTTGATTAAATTGGCTGACGTGGATGGCTTCAGAAGCCAGGAATTCAGCTCCTTTTATATAAAGGAGATAGCATTACTATTCTATATTCTATATGTATCTATGTAAAACGTTGTAAATAGTACTAGATTTTAACCCTCCCATAGGTGGGCGGGCATAATTTTGTTGGTTAAAAATTAAAATAAAACAATATTTACATTACAAAGGTCGCGAAGGATTTGATCTGACACACCCATAGATGGACAGGGTAATGTGTCTTTTAAAGAGATTTAAGAAAATGTATATTTGGGATACTAAAAAAATTATTTAGTTTTATAATTGAATGATGTTGAATAAATGTATGTTTGGTGATTTTGGTCGTTAGTATAAAAGACATGTGGATTTTTTTACACTGCTTGGTTTCAAATGTAAAAATTGTAATACAACGCGTCATGAGAATAATTTTGACGCTGGCTCATTCCGACTCGTAGACAACGCTTCGTGGTGCGACAGGGTCTGGGCACAACGAGGATTTGTTCTTACCATTAATTTTACGTATATATATATCTGTATATTTACTGATAAAAGTAATATATATATATATATATATATAGATCTGTTACTATATAATACGTCTGAGGGGGAATTGGTTTGAAATCTATCAAGAAGAAGCCAATACTGATAATTTTATAAATTTATAAGTAACAGAGTTATAGAAGTAAACTGTATACTAATTATAATAAATTAGATTCCAAAAATACTAAACACATCTATTTTGTACACATTGATTAAGAAAAATGGAGATTACTTAACAAATGGAAAACTTTTAGTATTAAGTCAATTCATACTGATACAGAGCATAAAAAAATTACAAAAACCCTTAACATTTACTGATAAAAGTAAAATTTATTCATTGGAAGATGTTATTACTTATAAAAAATTGATCGAAAATCTATCTCAAATAGATACCTAAAATATTAATGTAAATACACTTTAGTTAGTATTATAATAAACCATAAAATATCAATAAATATATAAAATCAATAATAACTTGTTTCTGAATTCAATGGTTTCTTGTATTAGTTTTTGATTATTACAGCCATCGACCCATTTCGTTATTCACATAATATGCTTAATTAGAGAAATATTGGGTTGAGACACATCATAGTCCATCGGAACAAAGTCTCTGCCGCCGTGTCTTCTGCATCTCCACCCTAGATCAGGTGAATTTACCCTTTGCTTCTCTCGATTTTTAGAATGTCATACATAATAGTGTACATCCACAAAAAAACAATAACGTTATCTTTCGATTTATTTTGAATTTAGATTCACTTTGAATTCAAAATATCTGCAAAAATCTGTATATCAAAAAATTTCCAATCCATGTAAATTTAGAAGATGCAAACATTTTTAATAAAAA